CGCGGGCACTCGAGCAGTAGGTAGGCCGGTACCACTCAAAAGTAGTGGTAGAGGTGTCGGGAACCAGAGGCCGAGCAGAAGAAGACAAAAAGTTGGCATTTTTAGAGGCCCAGTAGCGGTAGGCTAGGTCTAGGTGGGTACCAGTCTAAGTAGTCTTAGTCTAAGGCCTGTGCAGACGATATCAGAACCTGCAATGATGTTTCCCTCCGAAAGGGAGAAGGTACCGGTTGCTTGGAGGCCGCACGGCCTGGAAGTCACCGCCCAAGAGCCAAGTTGGGCGCTGTATCTCCAGGAGGAGAAAAGAGCTCCTCCTCATTTCGCTGCGTCCAAGTGCAGCAACGCTGCTGGAGCGCTGGTTGGGAGCAGCGATGGTGTATGCACCGCTGTGGGAACGAGGAGTGCCCAACTTTCCACCTTGGCTATGGAGGAGCTCGGGTAGGAGGAGGAAGAAGGGCACTAGGAGAGGGGAGCGCCAGGGGTACTTACCTGGCTATGGTGGCCGCCGTCTTCATCACCTTGCTGGGTGCTGCATCTGGGAGGCCCCTGTTGGGGCAGAGCTGCATTAAGAAGCTTTGAGGCAGAGTCAGGCATGGCGGCCTGAGAGGAGGAGGCCATAGCTGCTTTGCGTTGTCTTTTGCACGTCAGGGCAGGGCCCTTAGTAGTCCGCCATAGCCTCGGTCCGGATGAAGAAGGAGAGGAGGGCGGCCATGGCTATGCTGGACCTCTTGTTGTGCTGGCAGTAGAAGAGGGATTAGCACATTGATTTTGGTTCAGCCATTCATCATTATTACTATTATTTGTTGTTTGAATAAGAGAGGAGCAGACAAGGAGGAGTTGGTTGGCAAGAAGAAGGGGGAATTATCATTGGTCTTTTGCTGGTGTACATCTTCTTCTCTCTCTCTCTCTCTCTCTCTCTCTCTCTCTCTCTCTCTCTCTCTCTCTCTCTCTCTCTCTCTCTCTCTCTCTCTCTCTCTCTCNTCTCTCTCTCTCTCTCTCTCTCTCTCTCTCTCTCTCTCTCTCTCTCTCTCTCTCTCTCTCTCTCTCTCTCTCTCTCTCAAGTTCATTCATTTCTTCTTCCAATTGGATGGCGCTTTCTCGTGAATTTGCACCTCGAAATTGGCCAGGATCTTAACAGGGGAGATTGCGAGAAGCCTACGGTTCATAGCGTCTGGAAAGGTAACGTGCGATCCAACTTCCCCCTGCTGAACATGAGTTTTCACGATCACAAAAACCCACTTTGCAGCATTGGAAAGGGGGGACAATGAGTAGGGAGGCAGAAATGAATGTGACTGGTGCTGGTGAGTGCATTATTTATGGTTCCACCCCTATGGAAAGGAGAGCCATCCATCAGTACATAGTAGCAAGGAGTTTACGAATTGGAAGAAGGTTCTGCTCAATAAACTGAAGGTGTAATCCAGTGTTGTGGGATCCTATTCTCATTTCAGATGCTATAATGCCCTCCTTCCTACTGCTACAACCAATGACACTTTTCTGCCTTTTTGAGCAGGGAGCTCAGAAACGGCTCTACTTCCACGACGGGCCCCGCCCAACCTACTTCACCAATGTATACTGCTTCAGTCATGCTTCCACCCATTTCAACGACTTCTTGTGTCGACAGCTGTGAGCCTGGTCGCCATTCCCGAATGTCATAGTCCTCCAGCTCCGCACTCAACAATTTCGATGTGAATCCTCCACGTTGCCGCACAGCTTTAGAGACTATGGCCATTGAGACGGGGCACTCAAATGCACGCGGTCGCATAACTTTGAAATGGTCATCCCAGGGTGATCTTAAGCTGATGAGTAATCCACTTCACATTGTCATTGCTCAATAGCACATTGAACCTGGAACCTCCGCGTGGCTTAGTCGTCTCCCTCCCTTCTTCTAGAAACTCATGCAATGCTACCAACTGTTTGACTCCACAAACCAAAACATTTGGCTGTTGCCATTATGGACACACACCTTCATTGAACGTCGACTCTGTGATCTTCCGCCACTGTACATCATCCATCTTGTTGGACCACTGCGGACGGGGTACCATCGTACTAAGGTGTCATGGCAGAGGCATGGCACACAGAGAGAGAGAGAGAGAGAGAGAGAGAGAGAGAGAGAGAGCTTCTTTGCTGCATCCTGACCAGCACTCCAAGATGGGTGTGCAGCAGATGCGGAAGATGGCTCTACCATGCCCAGTGTGCTCTTGGTTGCTGCGTGGTGCTACAGCACACCCTACTCATACCAAGCAAAAATTATGCATGCGTGGTGCCCCTTTCGTTTCCTTTACTCCTTGGTGATGCTAGAGCGTTTTCATACGCGGGATACAAGCATTGCTGTTCCACAACTACGCATGTGCTGCATCCTGCATGGCAGTTTACATAGTGTTTCTTAACTGCTTGCTTTCTTGACAGGAGACAGACAGACAGACATCTACCGATCAGTTCACGCCCTTCGCTGCTGCAACAACACAATTCCCTCGTTCTCCTCCTATCTTTTGCTACTCTGTCAATCGGTTGATCTTCAGCTCACATTCTCCGCCACAACATCACGTCTTTCCT